ATATATATATATATATATAGAGAGAGAGAGAGAGAGAGAGAATTATTATTATAATTTTTTTATTATAATTTTTTATGTCTATTTTAGTATGTCAACTTAAACTAAATAAAAATATGTCTCCTTGGTAAGTGAAATGTTTTTATATTGTATTTCAGTTAATGATTATTTTATTTCAAGTAATACATTTCTTTTATGGTTTTTGTTTTTACATAAAACGGGGGCCATTTAAAATGAATTGAGAAAATTATTCTAACAAATGAATCTCTTGAAATATTTAAACATGAGGATAAATACATGATTAAAAACAACCATTTGATAAAAAAAAAAAAACGATTGACCATGCAATATTTTGTAATTAATAATACAGAAATTATGGTATATAATATATTATTTAAAATTGAGCAATTGATGATTTAAAACTTTAACATTGCTTTTTCAATAATGTATTACTTCATTGTTTACTGATAACAATCAATTGGTGTTAAGACCTATTTTAAAAGTCTTCTTTTATATCTAGACATATTCTCTGTATACAGCATAGAGTGATACTACTATGAATAACAGATTTCCCTAAAATGCAATTGATGTAGTTTCCTATTTATTTAATCCAGAGTGGACATTGTGTGGCATTACCTTGAGCGGCCTTTAGTGTGCGCTCTGCTTCTAACAGCGTCTCCATCATGCCCTCCGTCAGCTCAGGCTGTTTGCTGATCATGGAGAAACCATTCCACATGTACATCATCTCCTGAAATATGAAGCACAAAGGTTGCTGACTTTAAAATATAACCATTGCATCACAACAGAAAGTAAAGGGGAAAAAACATTTAGAAAGAAGCGTGTTGAATGCGTTACGTTACTCTTACAAGCACAGGCACAGGAAGTCTGATTGGATTGCTAGCTTTGTACCGTCTCGCTTTACGAATGGCAAACTTCTCTGTGGGTGGAGATTTACCCGCTATCTTCTGTTTGTATGTTGGTACCTGTCTGAGAGACCGCAAAAGAGAGATAGGAAGTGAACGGGAATAAAAAACGCTTTATTTCCATCTATCAATCAGCTAATGTCAGTTTTGATCATATGTTAACATACATCCAAAGAAAGAGAGACATACAAAAGGCAGTTTATTGTTTCTGCTCCTGTGTTAGTGGTGTAATTACATGCGAGCGTATTTACCTAAAGAGATCCACTTCATTATCCCCGAACGGCCGGGATTCTGTGTCTGGAAGCATGCTGAGATAAGCCGCCTTCATGTACACATACATGGCCTGAGATCGAGAGAGAAAAGCGTCATAATCCTTCTCCACACCGGAAACACACTGTACGTAATCACAAGCAGCAACAGAACCAACCAGTCCAAACAAAAACCTGGCAATGACCCACAAAGCCAATTTACACAGCTTACACACGCCAGTCATTGTTTAGATTGCTGCGCTGTAGCGTGACTTCAATTGAAAAAAAATACACCTCAATCCCAGGCTTTACACCTGTACGGTTTCACTTCATGTTTCTGAGGAGGAAGTCTGTCTGCAATTAGACCAGAAACATTGGCTAACGCTACTGTTGGCTAACCAACTGCTGAGAACATTTCATCAATCATGAAGAAATATGTCATTTTGCCTTTCGGTTTGCAAGATTTCCTGCTTTTTAAGAATATTTAGAAT